TCCTTCCGGGGCGCTCCGGAGCTGAAGGTAGACGCTGATTTAAACTGTAGAGCCCGGCCAGGTCAGGTGGGGGAGAGGCGCAGACACGGATTTCACGGAAATGCCCTCAGTAACCCGGCCGCTCGCAGCTTTCTGGGATTCGAGGTCCAACGGCAGCCCGCAGCACAAAGGAAATCGCATCGTGTACGATTTTTAAGACCTCTGGAGTCTCCCTGGAACGGGAGAGAGGTCTCTGCGTTCAGCCGTTCAGTGGTGAATATGAGACGGCGAATAAAAGCATCGGAAAGAACCTAGCTTCCCCGGAGATGATTAAAAGCAGGACTGCTAGCAGAGGAAAGGTGGAAAACTCCATTAATTACCAGACGAGAGTGCTCCGAGCCTCCTCCTTCCCCACCATCACTGAGACTGGAGCCCAGGGTCTCATGCATACTAAGAAACGTTGTACCGCCGTTGGGCAGAATTGGTGGTCCTCCTACATCAGCTCCCAGGGTGGCAGGGTTTCCACGCTTGCCACACCACACCCAGCTGAGTATTATGCTTTGAGAAGTCAAGTAAAGACTGCTTTTTCTGGGACCTTTTCATTCCCAGTAGAATAATGAAAAATTTACTGCTCTTATACTGGTTACAAAATAAGGTATAAATGTCGTTCCTTTAAAAAAGAAAATTCTCTAAGAATTTTCACCTCCCACGTTTCCTCTACAACCATTGCTGACGTTTGCCGCTAGTAGTGCCCGTAATCCACCCTTCTTTTTGTTGACCAACTCTTAAAGTTTGTTATAATTTTCTCTGGGAAGGTACTTTTTGACTGAGAGATTTCCCTATTTCTTAGGCTCAAAGTGTGATGACTTCTCTTCATAAGTATGGCCTCATATTTAATGTTGGCAACACACCACCTTTCCCCTCCTGTCTGAAAGCAGAGAGCTTGGCATACGGTATCCTAATAAAAGGATCTCCAAAGTAGGGCTAGTGGGGGAGGAGAGCAAATAGAAAATACAGAAAGGTGATCTGAAAATAGATTCCTGGGGTTGTGTCTCAGATGGTGAAAGTCTTGTCACAAAAGCTTCGGGTTCATTCATGCCCAGGACTGCAAGAAACTAGTTGTGGCACACGCCCGTAATCCCAGCACTTGGGAGGCGGAGAGAGGATAATCACAAGTCTAAGGACATGCTCTGCTACAAACTTCAGGGCCAGCCTGGAACAAATGGGACCAGCTGTAAGACAAAATACAAATGTCTACAGTCCGTGAGAGGGCACATTTGTGATCCCAGCACTTTCGAGACAGAAAGTGGGGGGGGGGGGGGGGGGTCAGGAAGACAAGGCATCTTGGCTGAAAAGCAAATGTAGGGCTAGCCTCAACTGTATGAGACCTTGCCCCACAACAGGAAGATTATCATGACCGTGTTTACTTGCACGCACACATGCAGGGGGGGTGCAGCATAGGAGTTTCAAATAGAATTCAGTCATTAGCAGTTACCTGATGAGCTATGGAGGAAGGGGACCTTTGCAGGGAACGGAGAAACCCATCCTGCAACAGTTAAAGGAGATAGGACTCACTGCAATGACTCACCAATTGTAAGTGTAGAGTTTAATAACATATATTCTGTAGTATATCGATGTCTAAGGCTTGTGAGCATAGGGATAGCTTGGCAACCTAGGACCCTTCTTAGCTGGAGCAACACACACATCTTTCCCAATAATGCACTTTGCAGCCTGAGACCCTCGCCTGCATTAAACTGACTTGGCTCCCGAGAAACCCTTAGTAAATCCCCTTTTGTGACCAAATGCATACCCAGGAACTAAGGACAATGGGGCAAGCCAGCCTGAACTAGCTTTGGACACACATGCTGCAAAGCAAACTGTCCTGGGAATGAACTTTTAGGGAAAAACCAACTATTAATGATCTTATTCCTATTTATGATGGGGCATGCATATAATTAAAATCAGATACAATATAAGAAATGACAATGAACAAAGGCATGCAAAACACAAACCTATGTATCAAAAACAAAAAGCTACCGACATACCACCCCTAGGAAATAACTCCTCCTTTTCTTGGACCCATAAAAGGAAGCCCCAAACAGAAACCAGGACTTTCTGGGGCCCATTGCTCCCCTAAAACATATATTCTATATTTTCACTTTGCCTTGAATAAAACCCTTTGCTACATTCCTGTTTGTGAGACCACTTGTGATATTTCTGTCACATACAAAAGCAAGCTTACCCATATGCCATTGTACTCAACCTCTCTGCTAACAGCCTCTAGTCAGTCACTGACCCCCTAGTATGTTTAAGGTTTATTTCTATTTATGTGTATGTGTGTGTCTGAGTGGTTCTATATACTTGCATCCAAGTTCCCCATTTCACCCCCTGGGACTGGAATTACAGGCAGTTATGAGCCTCCCAGTGAGTTCCAACTCTGGTCTTCTGCAACAGCAGCAAGTACTTTTAGCTGTCACTGTATACTGAGCTATATCTCCAGCCCCCAGTTAATTTTTAAAGCCCCAAATGAAAACAAATATATAATGTATCTATATACACACACACATATACTTTTTTTGTTGTTGTTTTTTGGTTTTTAGAGACGGGGTTTCTCTTGTTTAGGAAGCTGTCCTGGAACTCGATCTGTAGACCAGGCTGGCCTCAAACTCACAGAGATCTGCCTGCCTCTGCCTCCCAAGAGTGCTGGGATTAAAGGCCCCTGCCACCAATGCCTGGCAACAATGTATCTTTTTAAAAATTCTAATAATAGGGAAACACACAAACAACCCAGATAACCTTTAAAAAAAGATAATAAAAGGTACTGGAGAGATGTTTGGTGATTAATAGTACTTGCCATTCTTTTGAGTCCCTCAAATATCTCAAATTTAGTCTTTAAATTTCTCCAATTTTGTGTAATTCCCCCTTTTAGATCCTGAGTTCTGAATCCAAGAGAACTTTCATATCCTCTTTAGTTAAGAATAATAGATGGCTCAGAGGTTTAGAGCACCTTGACTGCTCTTCCAGAGGTCCTCAGTTCAATTCCCAGCAACCACATGGTGGCTCACAACCGTCTACAATTCAACCTGGTGCCCTCTTCTGGCATGTAGGCAGAACACTGTACATGTAATAAATAAATAAATCTTTAAAAAAGAAGAAGAATAAAAGGGGCTGGAGAGATGGCTCAGAGATGAAGAGCACTGACTCAATTCCCAGCAACCACACGGTGGCTCACAACCATCTGTAATGAGGTCACATACATAGAGGCAGAATGCTGTATACATAATAAATAAATCTTTAAAAAAAATAAGAAGAAAAATGTCCTACAATTCTGTTCATCTCTTCAAAACCTAAAATAAACAAAAGGAAAAGTGATATCAAAACAGATTTTCTGATTTCCAATTAAGAATATGTGAGTAGCTGATACATCACGTAGGCAACTGCTCTCAAAACAATGATAACAAGTGCCATGCTAAAATACACTATACAGATTATTCATATTATTCAGGATCAGAGAGATTAACACACCCAAGGTCACACTGGTTGTCCCGACCTGCAGGACACTCAGCGTGGGTCTGGTGGACACCTAGGAAAAAGATGGGGGGCAGGGGATGCGACGACGGACGCCAAGACAGGATTCTGATCAAGGCGACAACTTTATTCATCCCAAAGGGATTTATATAGGGGAAGGGAGGGGGGAAGGAATGGGGAATGTGCTGTAGCTTCGATGAACCTGTCAGAGCAGAAGGTCAGTGGGATGGGTAGGTAACCTAACTGCAGGCTCTAACTTTATCTTTTACATTCACTACCACTGTTATATCATAGTTGCTACCTTCAGAAAGAATAAGAAACGAAAGTGAACTGAATTTTAAAGGTGTTTACATGTTGTATTCATGTATGGGTATTTGGGTTTGGGGTTTGTTTGTTTCTGAGAAAGGGTTTCTCTCTGTAGCCCTGGATATTCTCAAACACACTAAGTAGACCAAGCTGGCCTAGAACTCACAGAGCGCCTCCTGCCTCTCCCTCGCCAGTGCTGGGATTAAAGGAGAGTCATCATGCCTAGCCTTCTGTACGGGTACACATCAGTGTGTGCAGTGTAAGCCAAAGGTCACCCTTAAGTGCTGTTCCCCAGGACCCTCTCTTCCGTTTTTCAAAGAGAGTCTCTCATTAGCTATCACTAAAGGTTACAGTGGCTGATTGGCGGGACACAAGGACGCCCCCCAGCCCCCTCCCCGTTTCTGTCTCCCCAGTACTCAGATTAAAGGCATTAGTCACTGCATCTGGCTTTGTAAATGTGTCCTCATGTTTGTAAAGCAAGAACTCTATCAAGTGAACTATATTCCCAGCCTCTAAGGGTATTTTTTAAGATTAACGGTAAAACAAAATAAAATAATTTAACAATTCCTAGATAATGAAACTAAAGACTTTTTTTCCACCCAGGCAGGGTCATGCTAGGTCGTGCTATGCTCCCAGGATACTCCTGAGCTCCTGAAATCAAGCAGTTCTCCTGCCTCAGCAGCCCAGTTAGCTGCAACTATTGGCATGTGCTACTATACGTGGTTAAATTACTTCTATTAATCTCTTAGGACTAAGATACTAATCTTTTAATTTCACCCTGCTCATAGTAGATTAAACAGAAAAGGGTTTTGATTTTAATTTTGTTTGAAAAATCATTTAGAAATCAAATACTTTTATAGTGTGCAAGTTTTAATATGTATATTTTCCCAAGTATTCCAAATATAAGAAATACAAGTTAGGGCTGGAGATACAGCTTGGTTGGCAGACAGCTTGTCTAGAATGCATGAAACCTTGGGTTCAAACCTCAGCACCACATAAACCAGGCATTTGTGGACCAGGTCTGGTGGACCAGGCCTGTGATCTCCACACTGAGGAGGTGCAGGAAGGAAGATCAGTTGGAGCTCATCCTTGGCACACAGAGTTTGAAGCCAGCTGGGACACAAGGAAGCCTGTCTCCAAAACAAAAAAAGACCAGAAGAGAAGAGACATAACACAAGCTGTCCAAGTGTTTTAAAATCCAAGGCTTTAATTCAGCTTTTGGTAATGACCATAAATGCCTCCACAAAACCTGTCTTCACTATAAATAGAAGGCACTAGGCATTACGTAACACTCTAAAAGCACTGATTCCTTCTTATGCTGGTGAAGATAACATATTAAATGGCAGGGCTTGAATATTAAACTCCCAAAAAAAAGACAATTCTGAAAATCACATAAAAAATTAAGTTACCATTGAGTCTTTCTTGGGTTTCCAATGCAACCGTAAGCTATTGTTGCGGGTACATAATTTGAAGTTAGGAGATAAAGTAGTTGAGTACGATTTGATTTTCAACATGTGTTAAGTTTCGGTTATGTGTGGTAAATGTAAAGACAGTATTGTCATGCTAATTGACATTTCATGTTATTCTTTAGGTGTGAAGAATAAATTTCAAGTGATATATCTCATACAAGTATATTTCAAAAGATCCTTGATATAACACTAATGACTTTCATATTCATGTCACAAACTGTATATAAATTGTGAAATTATTAAAATACATTGTTTTTAAAAATAATAAGATGACCATTTCTACCTAAATAAAGTTTCCCAGAAAGTTATGAAGTACTTTAGCATATAAAAGTAGTTGCCCTTTTTCTGAAAGGTCAGTATTGTTTCACAAAATAACCTATATGATCCACACAAATGATTTTGTCCAAATGCATTCTCTTTTTGTGACAGAGGCATGCTTCAAGAGACTGTATCCATGACTGACGGGCACTCTTTGATATGAGGCCACAGTCACAAACACAGGGAGCCGTTCTTAGACCAGGAATGCCCTTTAACATCAACAGACAGCACGCGACGGCAATGCCCTTTAACATCAACAGACAGCACGCGACGGCTCCTGAAGCCATTCTTTGACAAACACATACACCTAATTTTGGCTGTTCAGACACAGATATTTACATATGTGCTACTTCCTGTGTGCGTATTTGAACAGTGGCTTCTGCAGACACTCCCATTTAAACACAAACAAACAATCTTAACACACCAAATGATACTATTCTACTTTTGGCAAGGTAGTATAAACGAAAACAGACAGACAAAACTATAATATTGATTTAGACAAAAGTTCTCATATCAAACAACAGCAGAAAAAGTATTCTGAAAATCATTAATTTAGGGTAACTAGTATCACCCAACAAATAATGTTGAAAATTAAAGTTAAAATTCTCAAGTAATTATTACATGAATGGCTTATGATACTTTTGACATATCAATATTTTTTAAAAAAACAGCTGACTATGATGTTCATAGTGAGAATATCTTCAAAAGACATTCAAGCCAATTAATTTATACAGGCCCAATCAGTAAAAGGGAAGAGGAAGTTCCATAACAAACTACATATGCCCCCTTCCTCTGGAAAAATTCATAAGACTTCATTTTGAAAATGGTAAGGAAAACAGTGAAATGAAAACCTACATGATACTTTTTTAAAAACCCATCAATAAACATGAGGGGCAACAAGAAACACTTTTCAGCAAGTCATACTTGACATAATGCCTCCTAAAGTTGTGTATCATAACTAAAAAAGGAAAAGCTTTACAATTAGCAGCTGGACCCTGTGAAACATAGGACAATGAAAGGCACTACGTCAGCCTCAGTTATTACTAACCATAGTTGGAAAATTCAGTTTTTCCTTCTTAAGAGGATAGCCAGTGTGAGCGTTATTTATATTCCCCTGAGTTTCAACATGATTGGGCAAAGCAGCACCAATTTAAAAAAAAAATACCTGCAATGCCGGCACTGCAGCTTGAAGTCACTTATACTGATGGCCCCACAGGTCTCTCATAAGAGCACTTCAGAACATGATTAAAAACATGGAAATGCCTTTCGGTATTTGGGCACTGTGGAACTCCACAGAATGCACTAACATGTCTCCACCTTATCCAGCAACTGCTGCTCTTCTCCACGCACTGCTGCTCAGACAGCCCCTGTGTGCGTCTGGATGAAATGTCAGTTCGCTTCATGGTGCACAGTCCTTTCTGGCAGGAAAACCTTGTATCATGTCATGCCGGTCTTTAGCAGGATGCCTTGCAGGTCCTCTGGCAATGCTAAGATAATTGCATCTATATGTGTCCGTAACTTCGCCACAGTGTCAGGTTTCACAGGTAAATTCTCTCGGTCAGCCTGCAACTACATAAAGAACAGTCTAGGTGAGTCTGTAATAATGCATTGTGCTTACTATATAAAACCTCTTTTATAGCCTGGTCACTTGAAACTTTAGGTCTTAGTCTAGAATTTACAGAAAATAAAACTGTAGAGAACATTCCATTAAGTGGGAAAGGGGGTGTAAAGGGACCTCAATAAAAGGTTATTATTCTATAAATTCACAAATGATGTCTGAGGATATCCTGTGACAAACTCTGAGATGATAGTTTTGTAGCTTTCAAAAGACTCCACTATAAGTATCTTTAGAGGGGCTGGAGAGATAGCTCAGCAGTTAAGGGCACTAGTGGTTCTCATACAAGACCCGGGTTCAGTTCCCAGCACATACATAGCTTCACTGTTCCCTCCTCTGGTGCAGGCTGAACACTCATACGCATAATGTAATTTAAAAATTATTTAAATATCTTTATCATAATTTGGAATCATTGTGATCTGTTTGAGTGGTCAAATATTTCTAGTGAGATCTACCATCAATTGTCCAATCTCAAATCTTCTCTAAATGTTACCTCTGTGGTACATAATAGCTCAGCTGAGAAAAACATTTTCACAAAAGTCTATTTTATATTATATCTTCATCTCTGTAGTTACATACCAACTTATTTTTCAGCTTCAACACAAGGTCTACTGTTTCTACTTCTGTGTGTTTCTGGATCCAGAGAAGGAGGTCCTAGACAGTAAGAAAATCTCAAATTGGTACATACTCACAAACTACTTGAGTCTCTCTATTTCAGCTGGTGAGGCTAGTGGAAAGGAAGGACAAGACAAGGAAGACAGGACACACAACTCCAACACAGCCGCACAGTGAGTGCAAGGGGACCTGTCATGAAAATCTAGAAACTGTTAAGTAGATAACTTCTAACATTAGCCAAAACAATTGTAAACAAAATGTAAAAAAACTCCTTTCTGAGGTGGCCCTTTATCAAGATGGAAAAACAGAACAGCAGCTCAATGCAATAGTAATCTTTGTTTATATAAGAGTAATTTATAACGAATTTTTAGGTAATAAATCAAGACAACCAAATGTGAATGCATTACTCTATATAAATTTTGTGTCTTCAAATAAGACGTTCATAGGGCTTACTTATGGCTGCTTTCATCACAGTATTTTTCTAAAAGCCACAGTCACTAGGAGTTTATGGTTAGAAGAGACAACACTATGACCAGCCCACCTCAACATTTAAAGCAAAATACAAGAGAAAGTAAGATGATACTGTCTCAAGAAGCTGACTTTGAAGTAGGCTGGTGGTGAGTTACAAGTATAAAATGCGGCCCGACCACATGCACAAAACTGTCAACGCTAACTGCAGATGGCCATCAGGTCACTGGAAACAGCTGGAGTGAGAGGGCAGGGATGGGAGTCCTGATCCCAGGTGTACTCTGCTGTATAGAATTCGCCACTTCTGTGGTACAACACTCCCACTGCAGGGGACTTGATGCTACTAACTGAGGTCTGCACACAGAACTGGGAAGAGATGTGCACATCAGTTCATGTACAACAAAAAGTTCACAGCTGGGGTGGTGTAACTGAGGCAACTTCACTGAATCTGAAACAGCTGGGGGCTGCCGCATAACACAGACCACAGTGAGTTTCTGTGACAACTGAGAGAGCCCTGGCTCACAGGACAAGACATGAGCAGTTAGCTACGAGTACTATTTATAATAATAAAGACATTACTGCCAAGCCTGACACCCTCGTTCAGACCTGGGGCCCTCACGTTAGGAGGAGAGAACTGATTCCTGAAAGCTGCCCTCTGACCTCCACACTCACACTATACCACACATATACACGTGTGCACACACACATACACACACTGCACGCACGCACACATGTGCACACACACAAGTAAGTAAATGTAATAAGGTGGATTTTAAATATTGTTTTCAACCTCTAAAAATACTTTTGTACTCTTAATAATTGTGTCACAGTTTTCTAACCTCTTCACAAAGAGCTTCTAGATGAAGTGCCTCCAATTTTTGGGTCATTTCTTTCCGCCGGGTCTTGAACCAGCCATCAAAATTTGGGGACTTCAGAAAGTGCCTACAAAAATAAATTTTAAAAAAGCAAAGTTTGGTTAATATTTATTCCTTCTTTCAATACTCCCTCTTTAAAATAAAACAAACAAATAACAAATAACAACAACAAAAATAGGGTCTCAAGTAATCCAGGCTGGTCTCCAACTTGCTATGACGCTGAAGGTGACATTACAATGTGCCACCATGCCAGCCCTTCAGTCCTTTTGTATAGCTCAGAAATACATGCTACACAAATACTCTACGTTTTACAACTAGTTTTTTTTTTTAAGTAAGGATTTACAGATGGGTATAAAATAAGTAAAGAAATTAACCGATAAAGTCCAATCCAATCGCCCTTTATTCCAGATGTGAGCTGAGGTCCCGTTTTCTCAAGTGTTTTCATAAATTCTTCTGGAAGGAACTGTCTTAACTGGGGTGGACTCTAGAAAACAAGGCATACTATATTTAGAAATAAGGAACTGCTCTATTCAAAGAGAGTAAATATAGCTAGACAGTTTGAAGAGGAAATTGCTTGACTATTACATACCTTCCACGGAGAAATACTTTTCTGCAAAGGCATTAAGCTTGCCACGTATCTTTCCTAAAGCCAAAACAAATCCAATAAATAGACAGATAGATGGATGGATAGATGGATGGATAGACGGATGGATAGACAGATGGATAGACAGAAGGATGGATAGACAGATGGATGTTAGGAGTTCTTACAGTCTTACTTAAGGGATCTTACATTTTAATAAAATGGTTTTCCAAGTGGACACCAGGACATACACAATTTTTTTCACCCAGTTTCTGGCTTATAACTCCCTACTATAGGTAGTTCATAAAAATTAGAATTTCTCTTCACCACAGTAGGTTACAAAAATTTCTTGTCTTCCCTGGCCTTGCTGATCATGAGTTTTCCCCTGTCTTGCCTGAAAGTAGTTGCTAAGACCTCCATTTCAAAAAGGGTCTGAATCACACCTCAAGGAAGGAATCTGACAGACAGGGTTTGCTGACTTTTACCACCCAGTCTGATAGCATCCAACCAGAACATGTACTCTTTGTACCAATACCATTTGGACACAGATGTGCATGCTTCAATCATGCTTATGCAATGAAGTCTCAGTAGCAATCCAAAGGACATGGGTTAGACAGTTTCAAGATAGCAGAATATATGATATTTATAGAGGGTGGTACATTCAGAGACATCATGCAAGCCTATGTATCTCCCTCCATACCTTATCCTGTTTACCTGTACTCTTTGTAATGTTCTGTATAATTAACTAACATCAAATGTTGCCCCAAGTCATTCAAGTAAATTAGTAGAACCCCAAGAAGGGGATTATGGGATTTACAGTGGATTAGTAATAAGCACATCTTAGAGCTTGTGACTGGCATCTGACATGGAGTAGAGCAAACTCAAGAACCCAGCCCTTGGCAGTTGGGATCTGAAGCTATCTCCAGGTATTGTGTCAGAATTGGATTAGGGTTACCTTGCTGGTATCTACTGCGGAACTGATTGCTTGTTTGTCTGTGAGGTAAAACACTGCACACCTCACAGTCACAGAAGCAGTGTTTTGTTTATTTACTATGTGTGTGTATGAGCACACATGCAAGCACGTGCACACATATGCACACATGCATGGCATGTATGTGGCTCTCTTCCATTCTACCATGTGGATTTCAGTGGAACTCAGATCATGAGGCTTGGCAGCAAGTGCTTTCACTCGGTGAGATATCTTGACAACCTGAATCTGAGTTTTCCCCTCATGTTCCTTCAATGATCTCATCACTTCCTATGAAAGACTGCTCCAGTTAAATTGAATTGGGAAGTCATGTTTCAACAAAATTCAACTAAGCCTCTGCCTTCCAAGTGCTGGCATTAAAGGTATGTGTCACCACTGCCTGGCCAATCAATCAGTTTCTTATAGATACTTAGCTGGTATCTTGTATTATTTATCACCTGGAATTATGGATTTAATCTTCTCATTTGTGCTGAATATTCTCATCTCTTAAAATAAGTAGTATAGTGTTAGGAATGGAGCTCAGTGGTGAGTGTTTGTTTTGTCTGTGCAAGGCCTTGGGACCAATCCTTAGCACCAGCCTTCCTCACTACTGCTCCCCCCTTTGGGTAAATTCTATGCATTCTGTGTAGTGTTGGTATTGGTGGTCTTAATGAGAATGGCCCCAGAGGCTCATATACTTAAATACTTGGTCCCAATTGGGGAAGTTATTTGGGAAGGATTGGGAGGTGTGGCCTTATTGGAGTAAGCTTGAGGTTCCAAAAGCCCACGCCATTCCCAGTTAGCTCTCTCTGCTTCAGGGTTGTCGATGAAGCCTTGGGCTCTGGGCTACTGTTCTAGCTCCATGCCAGTCTACACTCTTACAAGCTCCCCCCACGACGGCCACAGACTCTAACCCTCTGCCACTGCATGCTGCAACAAAGCCTTCTTCTGTAAGTTGCCTTCATCAGTCTCTTATCACAGAAATAGAAAAACAACTCAGACAATTCTTGTCTATTTAAAAACATTGGAAATAAAAAAATAAAATTCTATCAAGTCCTAAAACTTGTATCATTATCTCAATTAAGACTTACAACACGTGCCTATCCTTCAGCAAGCCCACAGTCCTGTTCTTAGTACTGAGTACTTAGTTCTGAGTACTATTCTCTCTCTTAATCCTAGTGCTTGAAATGTACACTAAAGGTCTTTCAATAAGTTCTAACCCTACTTAAAATAATTCACAACAAACTTGAAAGGTATTTAGGGACCACAGAAACAGCCACACGCGGACAAGCAAACTGAGGATCAAATGATTTATCAAAGTGAATGAGATCTGGGACAAAGAATCCAGGTCTCTAATAAACGGCTCTGTTTTAAATCAATAAACGCATAACTGGTAAAGCATGTAACTTAAGATTCAGAGGATGGAAATCACACTTATGTAGTCCTCAGAAAATCATTACGATTAATTACTTACTAATGGAATGATGAAACTTTGTGTCAGTTCCAAAAAATAGCGTCGGAGAATAACACTTTGAGCCTCAGAAGGACGTTTCTGCTGTACACCCTTGTAAGTAGAAAGTAAAAAACAGAAACCCATATTTAGATAACGGCCAAGTCAACTGCTTTGTAAATAGGCATTTAAATTTAATACCAACCAACCACCCAAGGGGAAAAAAAAAAGAACCATCCCTAGGATGTATATTGAAGAAACTTAATTAGATGGTCACTTTGCAGAGGCAGGCGGATCTCTGTGAGTTCGAGGCCAGCCTGATCTACAGAGTGAGTTCCAGGACAGCCTCCAAAACAATACAGAGAAACCCTGTTTCGAAAAACAAAACAAAACAAAACAAAAGAAGTTCACTTTGTAACCTCTGTAAAAGGACATTTTGGCTGGAGGCGAGGGAGTCAGGGTGGGGAGGGAAAGGCCGACCTGTAACTGTAGTAAGTTACAGCTGGACAGGAGCAAGCAGTTTGGGTGTGTTCTTATTGTACAACAGGGCAAACAAAGAACACCTCCATACTAAATATCTCAAAGGACATAGAAGAAAGGATTTTAAATGTTTCACCACAAAGAAATGATAAATGTCTGAAGAAATAGGTACATTTAACCAGATTTAAACATTACACAATGTATATATATCAAAATATCATAGTACTGTACTGATACATATACTTGGCCTTTATCACTCAAATATAAATTGATACTCTATAGATTTTTTTTTTTTTTGGTTTTTCGAGACAGGGTTTCTCTGTAGCTTTGGAGGCTGTCCTGGAACTCACTTTGTAGGCCAGGCTGGCCTCAAAATCACAGAGATCCGCCTGCCTCTGCCTCCTGAGTGCTGGGATTAAAGGCGTGCGCCACCAACGCCCACACTCTATAGATTTATTAATATCTATTCCATACTCAAAGAGCGTCAGTTCACAGTGAAAATAATCTTTATTTGCATATGCTGTATTAAGACTACTGACATCTTTAAAAAATACTCTCTGTTAGATGCCACTGAAAATTTACAACAATGTCACTTTCCAGAATTACTGCTGTTTTTCTATAGCTCCAGAGCCAACACTCAAGTCTATAACTATGCAGCTCCTAATCTTTTAATTCAAAAAGTTTCATTACACTTATCTGTGTATATGTGTACATGTGCACATGTGTGCCAAGGAGTGCTTGTATGTAAGGGAGGACAACTGCAGGAGTTAGTTCTCTCATTCTCCCATGTGGATCCAGGGGCTGAACTCAGGCCTATGCATTCTTTTGTGTGTAGCAGTATGTGTGTGTGACTCAGGAGGTAGGAGTGGAGAATACATACCACAGCAAAATGTGTGGAGGGCAACTTGTGGGAGTTAGTTTTCTCCTCTCTCCTTATACCATAGGGGTCCCAGAGATTAAATTCAGGCTGGCAGCTTGGCAGCCAACTTTACCTGTTGAGCAACCTTGCCAGTTCTGTCATTTATTTCTGAGACAAGGATATCCCTATTTAGCCAGGTATGTCTAGAACTTAAGATCCTCCTGTCTCAGTTTCCTAGTGCTGGTATCACAGGCATGAGCCACAATATCCAGACCTAACGCTTGGGTTTAAAAGGAATTCAGGGTTGAGGTGTGCAAGGCAAAAACCAAAAGTGATTTAGGGCTAGCAAGATGGCTCAGTAAATAAAAGCATTTTCCCTGGAACTCCCATCAAAGGTGGAAAGAGAGAATCAACTCCACACTACAATGTTTCCCTGACACCCACTATCACGTATATGCACACGCACGCGCACACACACACACACACACACACACACAGATTTTCTAACTTTTCAAAGAGAATCCAAGCCAAGGCATGATGGCATATGCCTATAATACAGCATTTAGGAGGCAGAAGCAGGAGGATTACGAGTTCAAGCCCAGCCTGGTCTTCATAGTGAGTTCTGCCAGGTGAGATTCTAGGCTGGGGATATGCCTCAATGGTAAAGCACTTGCCTAGCATGCATGAGGCCCTGGTTCAACCAACAGTATTGTTTTTAAGAAGTGAGGTTCTACATTACATTATCATATTAAAAAAGCCACACATTGCCTAGCTAAACATTACATACATCAACAAGGAGATTTAAATTAATATGAGCAAGTATTTACCTTCTGGAGTTGCTTTATGATTTCATCATCTCTGTTTAGATATGGCTTGTAAGAAGTATAAACTCCTAAGAAAAGAAGATAAAAAACCCAACAACCTAAATGAGTACATGCTTAAAATTAGTAAGTCTGGGGCAGCAGGATGACTTAGCTGGGAATGCAAGCCTACATGAGTTCCATCCATCCCTGGAATCCATGCTGGAAAGAGAGAATGGCTCCCAAATACTGTCCTCTGACCTCCACACATGCATTATGACACCTTCATGCTGACATGCCCAAATAAACACAAAAAAAGGCATTAATAAAAGTCAATACCAGGTTTAGAATCCAAAGTTTTTAGGTTCTTCAATTTTTTTACTTTAACTTGCTTAGGAATTTCACCTGAAAGAAAAACATAAAAAATTATTATAAACTGGGCTGAGGCTATAACTTAGTGATCGAATATTTGCCTGGCATGCTCATCTTAAGCATCATAATATTCTCAGTCCCATCATACATGCTATAGGACTCATGTATTTTGTCTAAAATGTTTTCTCTGTACAACAAAAATTATGCTGGGGAGGGAAACAATTTGGCAGTAAGTTTCATATTTCTCATAGTCACTAATTTCTTGACAATAATGAAAATACATAGTAATCTGTATGTGCTCTTTTAAAATGAGAAATGACAACAGCACACCAGTGCTGCAGGCATTAATTACTCTGCTGCAGTGTAGACATACTCTGAGCTCCCAGCCTAGCCAGCAGTGGGAGGAATGGCACGGGGACTTAATCAAACACATCGTATGTATGCACAAAATTCTGAAGCAATTGTTTGAAAAACATAAATAGATGCCAGGAAGCTCCGGGAAAAGGTCACAAATGTGAGGAAACAAACTGCAGCTCTATGATTATAAGCAATTTAAAAGACCTTATTCAGGGTCTGATGTGAATAACAGACAAACAAGAGGGGCTTAGCATTAGCAGAGTCATCTTAGTGCACCGTTGCATGTCTGCACACAAATCTCGACTCAGAGCAAACCCCTCATCTTTCCTGTTCACTTTCTCATTAGAAATGAGTAGTTTCTAATTAAAGCCAATATACACCCGCACTCTTTGTTTCTTCTTTAGTGGATGTTATTCTTAGGTTTTATTTTCCATTTAGTACAAAGTGGATAGTCCACCTAGGTAAAACACTAAGAGAGAAACCTCTCTGCACTGGAACTAATTCCCTTGCACTGTTAAAACCAGACCCACCTTTATGTTTTGCCATGTCTTCCCTCTGGGGCCTACAGGATGTGTAACTCCACAGACTTTGTCTGCATAGCTTGTGTAGCATATGCAGTACGCCTGGATTTGAGTTCAAGAAGCTAGACATTCATTTTTAAAGTTAAACCTTATTTCATGAATATGCCTCCAAATCCACAAGAAATAAAGAAAAAAATAGATATAACGAACTTCATGAAAACTAAAAAAGACAGTCCACAGAATGGTGGGAAATTTACAAAGCATGTCTGATAAGAGACCAGCCCCCTGCTCCCCCCGACACACACCTTTGAGAACTTGTTAAGACTATCAGGTTGGCCTTGAACTCATAGGGATCTGCTTGGCTCTGCCTCCCGAGTGCTGGGGTGCTGGCACTAAAGACATTACCATTATGTCCAGCTCCCTCATGGTGAGTTTTTAAACAAGCTTCCAGTTCATATTATGTCACCAATGGTTTCTGAAAAAGTTTCCTACCTCTATTCCTAAGGGAATTTTTTCCCATAGGAAAGAAAAATAAACAGCAATATACTGATTCCAGTCAATCAAAATCTAGATTAGTAAAAAAACAAACCTAATGGTAAGTATAAAGATAAAAAAAAATTTAAGCCTCCTATGTCTTTTGTGCATAGAGTAACTGCTGTTCTCTGAACTATCATTTGTGTCACTCAACAAACTACTGGAATGACAGGAGCATGGCAATGTTAGGGGTATCATTAAATTGGTATTTAAATTAAACACCCAATCTCAGAATTCATTATTCATGTAATCAACACTTACTAACTTCCCACAACAAGCCAAACACTGTATGTGTTCCTCAAGGAAAGCACAACCCGTGAGGACTCCCTCAGTCAATACAACGCACAACGTTACACAGCACTCGCCTTAAGAGCCGCCTGAGACTTTCATGCCAAGCCTGGGGTAATTCTAGCTTTTTGCTGCTGTTGTGTCTGAGACAGGGTTTCCCTGTGTAGTCCTGGCTGTCCTAGAACTCAGAGATCCGCCTGCCTCTGCCTGGGTGCCGGGATTAGAGGTGATACCCCACCACTGCCTGGCCTGGCCGTTCCTCCCTTATCTTGAGAGGAGGCCTCCAGTCTGTAGCACATGCTGGCCTAGAACTGTGCAGTCCAGGCCGGCCTTGAGCTCCAATCCTCCTGCCTCAGTTTCTAAAGTGCTGGAATTACATAGTCACTCTGACATCTGGCTATCATTTTAGTTTTCTATAAAACTTTCCTCAAACAAAGTAGAATTCCCTATTGTTTCTGGCTTATAAAATAAAAAGCTCAATTTCCTTGGGCTTTATAGAAATGCTTTTGGGTTGGGGCATATCCCATTTTAGTGAGAAGCTGTAACTCTTCTCCAAAGGTACTTGCCTACTAGACTGTCTCCAGCAATGTTGCCAATAATATAAACAGAAGCAGAGGAACACAAGGGGAGGTATGTAAGTGCTTAACCCATCACACACTGTGAACACCAAGTAGACACTTTACCTGCAGGTTTAAGATCTCCTATTCGAATAATGTGTGGCCAGTGCTGTAGTGTTTTAGCAAAAAAGGGGTTAGTTACTCCTAAGATGACTGAGGGCCTGGATAAAAATGAGACAAAAAAAAGGTGCAAAACAAAAAATTAAAAATAATGTTACATCACAGAAGAATAAGTAACAGTTTCTGAGTAAGAATATATAGAATACCATTCCCTTATTTGAATTATTACATATCAACATAATAGGCAACATACTCAGTACTAGACACATGAAGATAAAATATATGATTTTTTATTAGATTTATTCATTTTATTTTATGCATGAGTATTTTGCCTACATGTATTCTGTGTATCACATGTATGCCTGGTACCCTAGAAGGTCAGAAGAGGGAATCAGATCCCCTGGAACCAGAGTCAAGGATGGTTGTGAACGCTGGGAATCAGACCTGGGTCCTCTGAAAGAGCAGTCAGTGCTTTTAACTGTGAGCCAGCTCCCCAAGCCTCCAAAAACATGATTTTTTTTAAAGATTTTATTTATTATGTATACAGTGTTCTACCTCCATGTATGCCTGCAGGCCAGAAGAGGGCACCAGATCTCATTAATAGATGGCTGTGAGCCACCATGTGGTTGCTGGGAATAGAAGTCAGGACACAGTCAGTGCTCTTAATCTCTGAGCCATCTCTCCAGCCCCCAAAACACGATTCTTAAAACAGCATGTAGGTATAAAGGTATACACACACAATCATCATGACGACAATAAGAAGACACTGAAGAACCAAATGAGGATGAAATGCACAATAATCACAAGGAGAACCTATGGTCTGCCAGGGTGTCACAGGGCAGATTCCCCAAAGACGTGGTAAGACAAGACATGAACGATGGGTAGTTTTTGGTCAGCAGAGAAGGGAGATGGGGACAATGCAGAATAGTACATGCCAAGCAACGAGGAGATGTCAGTCTCTGCCCAGAACCACACACATTAGCACAGGCACCTCAGCCCCCGAGGAGAATGGGGAGCATCAACAGCAGTCAAGGACAGCACCAAGCATGTACAATTCATATGTTATCTTGGGTTTTCTTTGTTTGTTTCGTTTTATTTTTCAAGACAGGGTTTCTTTGTGTAGCCCTGGCTGTCCTGGAACCTGCTCTGTATATGGACTGGCCTCAAACTCAGTGGGATCTCTCAGCCTCTGTGATGGGATTAAAGGCGTGCACCTCCACTGCCCAGCTAGTATCTTGTCTTTAAGCAAGGAGAAGTCACGGAGAATCAGGTGGAGGTATGTCACATGAAGGTTACAGGTCACTGTAGTGTGATGTGGAGGATGCCCTGTAAGGAAGGGAAGCTTGGGGGAAGCAACAGTGGGCAGAGGAAAAGCAAGTCTGAAGAAGGAACTATGGAAAAAAGGGAATAAACAGGTTGGAAGATGTTTTAGGATGAGCTGACAAAATTTAGTTGTGAGTTATTTCGGGCCAAATTATGAAGATGTCAATACTATGTCTTTGGTAACTAAGTCAAAACTAATACCATTTATCAAGAAAGTAATAGGAGATTAGACCAAAAAAAAAAAAAAAAAAAAAAAGGAAATCAGTTAAACATGCTTAGTTTCAGATGCATTAACACACGTGGGTGTGAAATGGGCGTGGTGGTATGCCTATTATCCTAGCAGTTGGGAGGCAAAGGTAGAAGGACCAGATCATCCTAAACTACATTATCAAGTTCAAGGATACCCTGATGTATAAGGCCAGTTCTAGCCCATCAGTGCTAGGGTTTGAGATCCCATCTCAAAAAGAGAATAGATATACAGGTGTAACATTCTACACTACCAGTAACATACAGGTCTGGGTGCTGAAGAGACCTAAAATACAAAGATATATTTCAGTCATTAATATAGGATCATTTAAGTTTTTATTCTGTAGTTAGTCCAGAGTGGCCTTGAACTCACCTCAGTCTTCCTGCTCAACCTCTCAAGTACTAAGGTTACAGAGTGAACTCCTATGACAAGTTAATATAGAGTCTTTAAATTAATTGCAATTAATTAAGTAAGAATGAGCCCAGGAGAGAGCGATAGACAGACGGAGGGAGGGAGGGAGGGAGGGAGGGAGGGAGGGAGGGAGGGAGGGAGGGAGGGAGGGAGGGAGGGAGAGACAAACGTGCTCTTGTACCGTGGCATGCTGGGATGGGGATGGTATCAGAAGATAACTCTGAGGAGTTGGTTCTGTCCTCCCCCCTTCCTGAAGCAGGGTCTTTCACTGTTTCTGCTGATGTAATGCATGCTGGCTGGCCCTCAAGTTTCCAGGGTCTCTCCTGCATCTGCCTCCCATATAACTGTGAAGAGCTTAGACTACAGATGTATGCCACTGTACCCAGTTGTGTACATGGTTTGGGGCTTGAGCCTGGACTGACAGCTTTCGTGGAAAGTGCCTTTACCTGCTTAGCCACCTTCTCAGCCTTAGTATACGGTCTCAACATAGACCCTGGGTGCTGTTAACGCTATACAGAAAATGATCTGTCTGAAAAAAGAACCCAGGAGACAATCTTTGATAGCAGCAACATTTAAGGGAATATCAGAGAAAGAAGTCTACACAGAAGACTAAAATATGCCACCAGGCAGCCAGGAGACAGGAGGATCAAGGATTAAGATATTCTGAAAGCCAGGCAGTGGTGGTGCATGCCTTTAATCCCAGCACTTGCGAGGCAGAGGCAGTCAGATCTCTGTGAGTTCAAGGCCAGCCTGGTATACAGAGTGAGTTCCAGGACAGCTTCCAAAAGAGTACAGAGAAACCCTGTCTCAAAAAACCAAAAAATAAAAAGATATTCTGAAGGTAGGTGTGAAGTAGACCTTCAATCCTAAGGGAGGCTGAGGCAGAAGGATCAAAAGTTCAAGGACAGTCTAGACTATTTATGGAAATTCTATCTTAAAAATGGCCTATCTGCCATCCGCATAGTTGGAACACAGCACCAGGAGGCTCAGAAATTCAAGGCCAGCCTACATTACACGAGAGCCTGTCTCAACACACTAGGGCAATGGAACTCTTGTTCATTACCTCAAGCAATGAGAATAAAAAGTGTTGATGAATGTTAAGAATTTAGCTTGGGGTTTGGAGAGACAGCTCAGAGGTTAAGAGCAGTGTCCGCTGTTTCATTTCCTACCTGACAGCTCACAACCATTCTGTAACTCCAGTTCAGTGGTTGCCTTCAAGAAAACACATGGTACATAGACATCCATGCGAACAAAGCACGCATACACATAAAATAAAAATAAATTTAAAAACCAGATTGTATCAAAGAAAAAAGAAGCAGGTCTTTAATTCCAGAACTTAGGAAACAGAGGCCAGTGGATTTCTATGGGATTGAGTCTAGTCTGGTCTACAGAGTAATTTCTAGGACAACCAGGGCTACACAGAGAAACCCTCTCTCATAAAAACAAAACAAACAAACAAAACCCCAAACAGAAAGTTTGCCTGCAATAGATACTGTGACATTAACAGAAAATCAAGAAGTAAACAGAAATTATTTTTGTTCTTCTAAAACTTTATCTAAGAAAAGAAGATAAGCAATTATAAAACAGGAGCTAAAATGGAAGAAATACAACCATTTTTCCCTTCCATAGATCAGAAGAATTTTTCATAATCAAAGGAAAAATCTGAGGTAAAGTTAGGTAATTGTTAACAACAACACAGAATCTATTAAGTAAAAATCTCTCAAAGAAAGTAAGTTACTAACTCTTCAAATCTTAAATTATTATCCACATCTCCCCAAACCTTTTATAAAATCAATTTGTCATTAAATCAAAATTTTAGATGAAGAATTTATTACACAACAAAATGTATTATTCAATTCTACAACATTTTGGAAACAAAGGTTATTGCGTTTACTCACGGAGCTTGAGTACGGGTGGTATATTCTTTGAATTCACTATCATGAATCGTGAAGTAAGGTCGGAAATCGCTAAAGTACTTTAATGGAGAAATACAGCTGTGGGACAGGAAGACATACAAATCAGGACTCTGCCCACGGCCATGAGAACCCATATTAACAATACATACCTGATAGACAAGTTATTCCAACATGGCCTTTAGGTAAGCACTGATGACTAACATTACTGGGGATCTATCTATCAAGGTAAATGAACGAGTATGTGTGCGCATGTGTGTGTGCGCGCTCGCATGTATGTGTGTGTGCATGTGTGAGCATATGTGTGCGTGCGTGCGTGCGTGCGTGCGTGTGTGTGTGTGTGTGTGTGTGTGTGTGTGTGTGTGTGTGTGTGTCTGAGATTCAAAGCAGCAGAGACATGGTTCCAGCTCTAACTGAACCTAAGTCAATCTTTTCATCCATTCTGAGACAGCTGTTGCATGGATTAAGGCAATGAGTGGGGGACATCACAGACTGGAAACACTGAATGCATCAGCACCACAAGCCCAATATACTTACTTAACAAGGGCCAGTACAGTTTCTGAAGACTCTGATGGTGACGGCGCCATAACCACAAGGGGTTCTCCCAACAGCACCAACTCCCATAGCATCTGACTATGAAGGAAAACTGGGCAGAAACACCTAGAAAGTGTCCACACAGAAGAAACACTTCATTATTTATCCAACTTTGCTTTTCTAACTCCCAAATAATCATTCTAAGAATTTCATATTGATACAAATTCTTTCTGCTACTGACAGCTTGACCTGTAAAATTAACTAAGAATGTGGTAATACATAGAAACATAAGTCTCTCTCTGTCTCTGTGTCTTTCTGTCTCTGTCTGTCTGTCTGTCTGTCTGTCTCTCTCTCTCTCTCTCTCACACACACACACACACACACACACAATCAAAGCACAATCTTGTAATACTAGCACTTGGAAGGGAGAAGCAGAAGGATCAGAAGATCATCCCCAGACCCTGAGCCTGAGACCTGTCTCAAAAAGGAAAAGAAATAAAAGAAAAGAAACAACCTCCTCCAAAACCGACCAATGTATCAGTTTGATTTATTCCAATTTTTAAAAATAAAATTAGATATAACACACGCAAAACAGATGACAAACAATAAAAACATGTCATCAAACTGTGTTAACGTGACAGGCCTATTTTGTTAGCAATTGTTTGTTATTCTTGAATTTCTATTCTAAGTATTTTGGAGGAAACAAAAATAGTCTTCCAAGGGTACAAGTACTGAATGTCCGCAACTTATAATCCAGTGCTAAGCTGGGGCAGAGATCCGCAGAGAGCATGTGCTTTTCACAGTGCGAGGCCCTGGGTTCAATCTCTAGAACACACAGACAAACATTCTACAGAGAAAGCCAATTATTAAAAAAAAAAAAAAAGAGGTCAAGTGCAGCAGAGAGAAGGGAAAGAGCAGAACAACTCATCTGTGACGGGCCCTGATGATGAACTGTACCAGCCAAGAGCCGAAGCTTCTGACATCAAAGAATGAAGGCAACAAAATACAGGGGACCTCTATGTAACAACAGAATTGATTCCTGGACAAATCCTCTTCCAAAGAAAGACTACATATTTTTACGGAGGCCCTGGAGTTAGTGTGGGTTGTGAGGACATAATTCCACTAGTGTGTTTAAGACTCAGCATTTGGTGACTTTTGCCTAGTTTTCTTCCTTGTTTGGTAACAATTTTTCCCAAGCAGATTAGAGAAAAAAAGTATTTTTAAACATCATAACCAATCTCACTAGTTCAAAACACAAACATTCCCCCAAACTAAAAAGAAAAACCGTGGAAGTACAAAAGCACGAGACAAATTTATGAGATTAAAAAAATAGGTTAGGGCTGGAGAGATGGCTCAGAGGTTAAGAGCACTGACTACTCTTCCAGAGGTCATGAGTTCAATTCCCAGCAACCACATGGTGGCTCACAACCATCTGTAATGAGATCTGGTGCCCTCTTCTGATGTGTAGATGTACATGGAGGCAGGGTGTTGTGCTTGTAATAAATAAATAAATCTTTAAAAAAAATAGGTTAATTTAACTATAAAAAAGACAAATGCAAAGTAGGGTCCCTCTTCAAAATGGCTCTAGGATAATGCAAGGAGCTATTCTTTTTCCCTTACTAAGGGTCTCAAATCTAAAGCAGAACACAGTAGGCATCTCTGCCAGAAAAGCCTGGTGCGTGCGTGCGTGCCTGCGTGTGTGCGCTGGGGAAGCTGAATAAAGAGAAGAGTCACGGTCCATGAGGCTGGCGGACTCAGCTGTGGTGAAGAGGGTGGGGATCTGGTTGGAGGCCAGAGCCTAGGACATACAAATGAGCTCACAAACCAGAGGAGTGTCCTATTGTGTGGGGCCAGAGCTAGAGAGGACCATGGGGCTTGCCATTAAGTGCACATACATATGTGAGTATATGTAAATGTACCTAATGGAAGCAATTTGGATTTGTGAAGTTTCATAGCCATTATAACAGGGAAGGCATGGTGGCGGGAGGTTCCATCTATGGGTAGGAGCTGGTGGAAGCTTGGTTTATTACTTTTCAATGAAGCAGGAAACTGGGATCTCAGACGGTGAGTGGAAACAGGCTCTAATCACTCCCAGTGATTTACTTCAGTCAGGAGTCACCTCTTACAATCTCTAGTCACCTACAGATAGGGCTCAAATGCCTGCGGGGGGGGTGGCGTTTTACACTCACACTGTAACAGCTGAGACGATCTGGCACAAGGGGTCAGGACAACATGAGGGAGATAAGGGCATGGAGAGGTGACCTGGAGTGGGAAAGCAGGGTAAGGAGGGCACGCGTGTGGCACTCAGAGTCAGAACCCAGCGAAGGAGAGCGGCACTCACCCGTTTGACAGAGCACGCTGCAGGGGTCAGAAGGAGTCAAAGCCTGAGCAGGGTAAGGAGGGGCTCCACGTGCAGGGACCACAGAGCCCGTGGAGAAAGGCATGCGCACAAGGGATAGGGTCACAGTGAAGATGGCAAACTGTTTACTAGCCAGGGGGTCGATCAAATCAGTAAATAAATTTAAAATTGTAAAAGGTAATTTCTCAAGGAAAGGAGATACAAGCATGTAAAAGAAGTAAACAAAAATAAACCCTGTCACATAGCATTGGAATTGAGAACATTTATTTTGACTTTGTAGTTTTTAATATATGTGGATACAAAAGCACATATATAAAAATTTGTTTGTATATCTGTTGTATGTGCATATATTATCAGACACTAAGAAAATTTAAAAGCTTTGTCAGCTCAGTCAATGGGTCTGCCAAACTGCTTCACTCTGAAATTACAGGGGGGGGGGGTGACTGTGCGCCATTGTATCATCAGGTAAACAGTCCCTGACTTGAAGGGACTGTAGTAAGAGCATTCTAGTCTCTTTCAACTATTTCAGAAACCACCCTTTAACTCCTATTTCAACTTAAGAACTAGGAGGACTATTTCTACGATTCAGAGGATTAGCAGTTATGGGTTAATAAAGTCAGAACTAGCCAACAAGAAACCATTACAAACAGCCAACAGCTTCATAGTTAATACGGTGTCTCGTGTGTTATCTGGGAGCTGAGACAGCGGTGGAACCCAGGCAGCTGGCGGGAAAGAGTACATGCTACACAGAGGAAACTGCAATCAAAGGTCCAGCCCGCAGACGCTAACAGAGGGAACAAGTCCTGACCTAGTGAAAGCAGGGGCAGGGGCTGACCCTACAACCTCAGGTTCTTTTAAGATCTCCATCCTTCCCCTCAGTCTGAATGTAAAAATATCATTTCAACATACCAAATGTGACTTATATTAATAAACATAAAACGAAAACTTGAGACAGGTATGGTGCAAACGCCTGTAATCTCAGCACCTGGGAAATGAAGTCGGGAAGAGGACCAAGGCCAGCCTTAGCTACAGGGTGAGTTTGGGGCCATTCAGGGCTACTGGAGACTCTGTCTCCAAAAACCAAAACCAAAACAAAGGAAGAGACAGAGAAGCTCTCCACACAAAGTTCTATCATAGGGAAGCATTGATGTGATCCTTAGATATTGTGCCTGAGATTATTTTTCATGGCTTAGTTTTTTATTTTTAGAAAGACTTATGCTATTTTATGTGTATGAATGTTTTCGCCTGGATGTATGTTTGACCACCACATGCATGCCTGGTGCCCACGGAGGCCAGAAAGAGGGCATCAGAGCCCCGGAACAGGAGCTGTGGATGGTTGTGAGGCACAAGTCGGCTCTAGGAATCAAATCCAAGTTCTCTACAAGAGCAACAAATGCTCCAACCATTGAGCCATCCCTTCAGCACCTAGGGCTTAGATTCTTCTTTATTTCCTCTCCCTCTTCCCCCAAATTAAAAATATTTAACACTCTCTGAAGTTCAAGAGAAAAACTTTCTCGTGCATCTAGGCATGACGGCACATACACCCCAGCACCTGGGAGGCTGAGGCAGGGAGGCTATAGTGTCTCAACCAAACAAAATGGAAGCAACACACCCACACAAAACAAAACAAAAAACCCACAACAACAAAAACATACAAAACAAACAAACTTGTAACTGAATTCTGACTTAATTTATACAAATTCTTCAACTTGCCCTTCAATGACTCAAGCATCAAAACAATCAACAGTATGTACTCTCTGTGTCTTTTGTGTAGTAGTAGATTTTATAGATACTCTACCTTTTTATTCAGTTAAAACTTTTAAAATCATAATTTTAAGCATTATTTATATTTTATTTACAGCAAAATTGAGCACTGCCAAAGATACAGAAATAGTTCTACCATGTCAAAAAATTGCCTCATTATCAAGGTCTCTCTCCTTGGGTTTCTGGTCCTGTAGTTTTGACTTTGCCAAAATTATGTGAATGAAACCATCTATTAAGTAGCTTACAAAAGCCTGACATCTGTAATCAGCATGCTGTCTTTGAAAGTCACCTATGTTACTGTATCTATTAAAGGTTCATTCACTCATTTATTATTGCTGCGTGGTTTCCTATGTGCATGGGTATTTGGGTTGTATCCTATTTCACTACTATGAATAAAGTAACTTTTTTATTTATTGGTTTTTAAAAAGATTTTCATAGTATATATGTTTTTAAAATTTTTATTCATTCGTATTTTGGTTGTTTACTTTGAGACAGGGTTTCTCTGTGTAGCCTTGGCTGTCTTGGAACTCCCTCTGAAGTCCATGCTGGCTTCAAACTCAGAAAGATCTACCTATCTCTGCCTCCCAAGTGCTAGAATTAAAGGGTTATGCCATCACCACCTAGACTCATATATTTTATATGTGAGTGTTTTGCCTGCGTGTGTATCTGTGCACCAGGTATACGCCTCGTACCCGACGAGGTCATAAGATGACTCTGGATGTCCTGGGACTGGAGTTCTAGGAGTTCTGAGTCACTGTGTGGTGCTGGAGTCAGACCTGGGTCCTCTGGAAGAGCAGCCAGTGCTCTTAACCTCTGAGCCATCCTTTACCTCAACAGAATATATTTGACCAGATTCTTTCCCTTTCTCAACTCCTTTCAGACTCTACTCACCCACCCAACTTCATGTTCTTCCCTTCTCAGACAAACAATCCAAAAAGATTTGAAACAAAACAACAACAAAGAAACAAAACAACAACAAAGAAACAAAACAAAACACTGAAACATGCAAGTTGTGTTGGTCAGCTACTCCTGAGCGGAGGCGCTGCCCCAGACTGGGTGGTGTGCCCGTGAATAAGATAAACTACCATATGCGTGGATCTGCATGCAAGTCTTCACACAGGCTGTTGTTTCTCTACTTTCCTTTACTGAAGATTTTTTAACTAGGGTACAAATTTTATTAAATTTCACCACAAAATTGAAAATTCAACTCAAAATAACAACAACAAAAAAAAACATGACTTTTTCTAACATGTCTACAATATAACTCTTACACCAAATGAAACAAAAACTAATAGTCTTAACCATGTAGTTAGTACCCAATGTATATCTCCATTTTCCTGTCTCATCAGATGCAGCTGGGATGGAACACTGGACTTTACCATTGAAACAAAATGAGTATTTCCTTCTATGTTTATTCACATTCTCCATAAATTAATAACAACTATCACACAGTAAAAAGACAAAATAGTTAACAACTTTTTAATCTTTACCTGAAAAGATCCACCTCATGAACAGTAGGTAAAATAACAGATGTGTGTGTGTCTGCCTAAAGGATTAAAAGAAAAGAAGTATATTAGGGGAGATTCACTAAATTTATAGAAACCGTTTTCTCAGTTTTATTTTTAACACATGGTGTAGTCTTGGCTATCCTGGAACTCACTGCATAGTCCAGACTGGCCCTGAACTCACAGATTAGTGCAGGGACTAAGTGAACACCATCACACCTGCCTGTCTGAAGCCAAGTGTGACACACTATGGTACATGACCATGCTGTAATACCAGCACTGAAGAGCAGAGACAGGAGAACCCATGCAAGTTCAAGGTCAGCCTCACTAGCAAGTTCCTGGCCAGACAGGGCTACCCAGCGAGATCCCCATTCTGTGTTTTTCATGAAAGAGAATGGGTCATACCAGTCTCCCCAGCACAGAAGATAGAGAAAAATATGAACCCTGTGGGTAGGAACCAGCCCAGTGTGAGACCAGGTCAGAACTGCAATGTGCTCTACCATTAACACTAAGCATGAAACAAACACAGCCAGTTTTCCTGCTGTTCTCAAGACTGACTCAAAGAGCAAAGGAATGATAGGTAATGAAACCAACTGATGAACAGAAATAAAAGTCCTGAATCCTTCTGACTGAGAATTCTATAATCAGGAGTCTGTTGGCTACTCTTCTAAGAGAGGACCTTTTCCAGAATCAAACCTCTTTAAAAAAGTATTTACCGTCCCTTTGTCCTTACAATTACAACATAAACTCTAGGTTCTTCAATATCTACTGAGGTAGTAACAACAACAACAAGAGCCAAGAAATCTTAAAAGTTTATCGCCAATTAACTAAAAAACAAAACAAAACAAAAAAATGGCTGTTTAAGTACATTAAGTATGTTCAGAAATATATTAACAGGCCCCGAAACTACACTGTGATTATTTTAGATCATACTACCTGCTGAGTTAACTGCACCATCTGAGTGGTCCCAGGCTTGTCATGACACGTGGGAATTCGTACCTTAAAGACAAAGTGAGAAAGTATCACCTTTATCTGTATGAAAAGTGCTTTCTGGATGCTAAAAGACACACTCAGCACTTCTAAAATGCTATAAATACCAAGCATTTATGTCGGGTCTTAGAACTAAGGATATTCATTTTTAGTTACAGCATAAAGGAGGGGAACAAAAGTTTCCATGTGTATAAACAGAGATCACTAAACATCAAGAAGCAAATGTGCTGCAAAGCACTGTAAGGACATGAGCCTCATAGAACTTCCTGCTTATCTTTCCAGTCTTTGCTTCATAAAATACACACACCCAAACACACCCTCTCAAGCCTGCCAAATTGTTGTACAAACCCCACAGGAAACAATGGGAACCCTCCACACAGTGCTATCAGTATTATTTTTTATGTTTGCCAAAGGGGTTGGGGGAGAATACAAATACTAAACAAGCAAATCCAAAGAAGGAATACTGTGAAGGTTAAAGCCAATGTCATAAACACATGCAAAGAACCTGAGTACATCCCTACAAAATCTGAGAGGAAATTCAAATTCCTTAAACACAAAGCAATGGGTTGGGCAAGGAGGGCCTCACCCTCCCTGGGGAATGATGTGGGGATTGGGTGAGAGGCTGGAGGACTGGTGGAGGGACACCACGGGAGGGGTGGGAGAGGGAGCTGGGACTGATGTGTGAAGCATTCACGTTTCTAATTTAAATAAAAACATATATTGAGGAAAAAAATGAAAAACAAAAACAATGGGTTGGGGATATAGCTCCGTGGTAAAGCACTTGTGAGGTCCTGGGTTCAATCCCCAATACACAGAGAAATAATGAAAAGAAAAAGCAAAAAACTCACTATAACAGAGAATATTCCAAGATAAGCACGCCTGGTCTGACATTAAATGCTAGAGACCATTTATACCTGAAAACCAACAGCTCCTCTAGTTTATCTTACTTTTCAGCAATTCACACTCAGTACAAGTGTTCCGCTTCTGCTTACTACCCACATTGCAGAATTCAACATCCCTGTGCCAGTTCTACCAGGTGCAGGGCCTGCCTGGAGGGGCCTGGAGGGTAGGAAGGACTCTGTGAGGCAGGGTGAACTGTGGTGCATGTGTAACCCTCAGCAAGAGCAACAACAAAGGCAGCAATGCTGCTAAGTGTCACAGGGTTAAAAGCCAAGCCCATGTGTGAGCTCTCTGTGAGTTCTTTAAAGGGCAAACGATGACACTTTGGTGAGTTGTTACCTTCATTAACACCCCCATGATAGGCAGATGCAATGTTTTCCCTGGCACTGGGGCAGGCCACCGGTCAACATCATTACAAGCTGGAAATGTAACAAAACATTTTCTTAATGTCAGTGAAAAATTAAAATATTTAAAATGGACACGGCAGGTTAGAGTTCTTTAGTAACAGGGGAGAAACATTAGTAGTAACAGCAGATACAGTAAAAGGAATGAAACACTGGCTTCCATTTCTTTCAGAGATACTGTGTCCTAAGGAATGTACTAGTTAATTGTTGAGCGAGAGCTGGAGATGGCTCAGCCACTAAGAGCACTCTCTGCTCTTGCAAAAGAGCTCGGGTTCTTGGCACTGATGTCAGGAAACTCACCACCTGCAACTCCAGCTCCAAGAATCTTTCTGGTCTCCCCTCAGGCATGTGCTTGTGCATGCAAGCGCGCACGGCACGCACGCTCACGCGCGCACACACACACACACACACCCCAATAACATCTTTTATTTGTTCATTTTTTATGTGCAGTGGTGTTTTGTTTCATGTATGTCTTGGTAAGGGTGTCAGGTCCCCTGAAACTGGAGTTACAGACAGCTGTGAGCTGCCATGTGGTTGCTGGGAATTGAACCCAGGTCCTCTGGAAGAGCAGTCAGTGTTCTTAACCACTGAGCCATCTCTCTAGCCCAATAAAAACTGTTTTAATTAAAAAGAAAAAATTGTTGGATGACAAATAGGTTCAAGGGCAGTTTTCTTACTTATGTTTTAACTACTAAAATGTTGCACACTAAGAATTTCTGTTCTATAGTACTCCAAGAATGATCAGTTCAAAACCTTTTTCCTAAATCTAACAAATATCATTTATTTTGTTACAGTAGATAGGACCACATAGCACTTTTAGTATTTATAGGTAAAGATGCCAGACCAAAAATTCTTTCCCTCTCTCTCACATTGTTTAAGTCTTGATTCTTTAGAATATCAACTTCCACTTTATTAAAACTCCTTTGTTAATGGGGGGGGGGGGGTGAAGAGATAGTTCAAATGTTAAGCGTGCTAACACCTCTATCAAAAGACCACAATTTGGTTCCCAGAACGCATGTCAGACAGCTCACAACCATTTGTACCTCTAGGCCTAAGAAATCTGATACTTCTAGTCTCCAAGGACACCTGCACACATATAGTGCACACAGACAGACAGACACACATTCAGACAGACAGACACACACACACAGGAATGAATGAAAAAACATGTTATAAAAGAGTACATATGGGCCTGGCATTGGTGGCACACACCTTTAATCCCAGCACTTGGGAGGCAGAGGCAGGTGGATCTCTGTGAGTTTGAGGCCACCCTGGTCTACAGAGTGAGTTCCAGGACAGCCTCCAAAGCAACACTGAGAAACCTTGTCTCAAAAAAAAAAAAAACAAAAAACAAAACAAAAAAAAAAAAAAAAACAAAGAGTGCATGTGAATTGAGGAAAGTCAGGAAAGTGCTTGCTGCACAGTGTGAGAAACTGAGCTTGATCCCCAGAACTCACAGAAAAAGTCAGCATGGTGATGTGCATGTCTGCCACACAGGCACTGGGCAGGAGAAGTAGCTGACTGAGGCTCACTGGGCAGTCAGCCTAGCCTAATTAGAAAGCCCAGGTCTTAGTAAGAGACCCTATGGCTCCTGAGGAAGAGCACAAAAGATTGACCGCTGGCTTCCACACGTGCTGACGTTTGCATGTACACCTGCTCACACACATGCATCTGAAAACAGTGGATATGCACACATGAACAAATATGCATGCACACACAATACATAACTCATGTAGTATTTAACTTACCTGCTTCCAAATAAGGTTCATTCTTTTCAAAATACTCTGGTGCTATCTGTTTGAGTACGGTGTGAAAAAAGTGAATATAAGGTAGTTTGCTGATCAAAACCAATGACTAAAGAAAGAAGGGGACAAAAGTTTTTTTAATGCCTAATAATTATAATTTAGGTTTGCCTTTTATGTTTTGCATGAACAATTACTAATGAGCTAAAATTCAACAAAAAAAGTATGGACTTTGAAATTAAAAGGTTTTTACAGCATAAGATTAAAAGAAAATACAAAGCCATAACTGAGGAATGCAAAAAGTTTAATTTTATTATTACACTTTAATAACTGAAAATGAATCACAAATATTCCTGCTCTTCAAGTAAGAGTTTCTCCCAGCCAGACTAATATAATGAACAATGTTAAAAGCCCAGTATAACGGTCAGTTTTTAACTGTCAATGTGACACAATCTATAACCACTGGGAAGGGAGGATCAGTGCCCGCGGAGATTATCCTGATGATGTCAGAGGAGGCAGGAAGACCCACCTACTGTGGGTGGAGCCATTCCCTAGGCAGAGGATTCTGACTAAGGAAACAAGCTGTGCATGCTATGGATGTAATCATATGGGTGCAAATTATCAGTGTCTCAAGCTAATGCCACTGTGACCTCTCCACAGAGAAGGCCTATAACCTGGGGCTAGTACTAACATAAGCAACATTCTCCCCAGGTTGTTAGGGTCAGGGTATTTTATCACAGCAATAGAAAGAAATTAAGATACCTTCCTGTTGTCTACAACACAGCAATATCAAAAGTTAGCCACAGGAAGTCTTTCTACTAAGAAAAGTACAAATTGTGATGTTTGGCCCAAATTCCTATGACAGTTAGTTCTGCAGTTCAGCTGTCCTAACCTAGCTACACACTTAAAAATTGCAACTTTCAGGATCATCACTTTAGATACAAATTACACTGATTTTAAATATTGTTTTCCTTGAAAAAAGCTACTTTTATTTTTTTTAGGATTTCATTTTTATTTATGTGTGGGTGTCCACAGAGTTGGAGTTGGAATTATAGCGGTTGTGAGCTGTCCAGTGTGGGTGCTGACAAGGGAATTGGTAACCCTGCAACAGCAGCAAACACTCTTAACAGCTGAGCCATCTGTCTCTCCGGCCTCCAGATTACTTTCTCCCTGTCTATCCAGCATCGATCAATGGGCACTGAACATTCCGAATACAGATGGAGAAGGTATGTCCTAATAGCTTAGGTAGGACTGATTGATTTTTCTTTAATTTATAAGATACTGTATATTTAGGTTGGAAGCAATAATGGTGAAGGTGTTGCTAATTTTACTCATTGGCTCATCAAAATAAGAAAAAAACACACAAAAATTGCAGGTGTTTATAGGTTGTAAGAATATTATAATTTATTTTCTCCCTTATTTTCCAATATCAAAAATATAGGCGCACTCTCCCTCGTATTAACCGCAACACTACAGTTTATCAGAAGTATAGTACAGAGACGGCAAAAATTCAACAGTTAAAAATGACAAAACATCGGCTGGGTGGTGGTGGCACACACCTTTAATCCCAGCACTCAGGAGGCAGAGGCAGGTGGATCTCTGTAAGTTGGGCCAGTCTGATCTACAGAGTAAGTTCCAGGACAGCCTCCAAAACAATGCAGACAAACCTTGCCCCCCCCCCAAAAGATGACAAAACATAGTGACATATCCCTTAATCTCAGTACCCAGTAGGCCAGTCAGGTCTACATAGCCAGTTCTAGAACAACCAGGGTTACATAGGCAGACCCTGTCTAAAAATAGATAGATAGATAGATAGATAGATAGATAGATAGATAGATAGATAGATAGATAGATAGATAGATAGATAAGATAGGGTCAGATGCCTGTAATCAAAAAAAGGACAGGTCACATAAAAACTTCAGACATTGAGTTAACTGTGTCTACTTTAGTGTGGGATTGAAACAGGGTCTCGTGTGATCCAGGTTGGCCTCAAATCCCTGGTTCTTCTCTTCCACCTCCTAGGGGCTCAGACTGCAGGCAGACACCGTCAAGTCCAGTCCTCACTTTTCTATCACAACACTAAGAAATTAACAGTTCATATAAAATTACCTTCTGAAAGTAGCCTCTTTTAAGAGTTTTATCTCGAACTTGTCGAAAATACACATATCCATAAAAATATGCAGGATCTTTCTATGAAAGAAGAGACAAAAATCATATGTGTGTATGTACATATGTATACGCATATGTACAGATATCTGTTAATGGTAACACTGGACTTCCTTAGAACCCCAAGTCAGTATGTGAGCAATACACAAAAGCTAATCCTGTCTTCCTACTACAGACAAAACTCAGGAGAATAAAGAACCTGCCAGCGTGCCCAGAGAGCACAGCTGCGGCCTGCCCACTACAGGCAAGGCTTCCATCCCTAGGAATTGTCACTTATGCTTTTATTCACACCTAGACTGGCAAACTGAAGCCAGAAAGCTACCAAATCCAGAATTTCCCCCAGTGCTACACTGTTTCTCAAATTCTACAATAAATACCTATGGTTATAATAAGATCTGAGGCACCGGTACAGGGAGACTCCTCAACTATGCAGGTAGTGACTGTGCAATGCCACTCCACAACACACCTCAGGATGACAACACAGCACCTCGCCATGCTGGTCCAATGTCACAGTCCACAGAGCAGTGACTTCCAGAGTAGTGACTTCAGTCAATTCCACTCAATACTCAATCCTTATCTTTTAGACTTTATTTGAGAAAGCCAGATAGATAATAAAACAGCTCCCCCAAAGACAAACAATAACAAAATGTTATCAAAGGTGACAGCCTATATTAGCTCTAAAGCAGTGAGTTCTAATGTTTCCCCTCACATGGACATTTTTCCAAGAACACTTTTCCAACCTTTAAGTAAACGGGTAAATCTTTGTCAAATTGATCGAGAAGACAATGCAGTGACACCCTCCTCCCAGAAGACTGTCGGAATCTAAAACAAAACTGGGTATCTCCAAGACAACCTAGTGAAAACACAAAGAAAAGCCAGTCAGGACAGCTTAGGGTGACATGTATCCAGTTTCATCAATATTCAAGTGAATGAACTTTACAAATAATTTAAACACAATTCTTCATGTTTAAGAGAAGAAAAAAAAAAGCTTAAAAATTCTAGGATTTAGCCAGGATAGTGGGACATTAATCCTAGCACTTGTGAGGCAGAGGCAGGTAGATCTCTGGAGGCTGATGCTGGGTTTACAGAATAAGGTCTAGAACAGCCAGTGCTACAGAATGAGACTGTGTCTCATAAACAAAAAATAAAAAAATAAACAAGCAAATAAATAAATTCTGGACTTGTTCAAGAACACCTTGCTAGTTAGAGAAAAATGCACATCTTAATTTCTAAGGGTCACTACAATTTTTCCTGCTTCATTTTCCATTGTTATTGTTTTAATTTGTCTGCATGTGATGTCATCTCACAAATATAAACAAATAAAGCTAAACACACACTCCTCTTGTTTAAATCTGCATCTATACGAACTTTTGTTTCTCTGTGCAGGGTCTCGCTATGTGGATACCATGAACTCTCTAGGTAGACAAGGCTAGTTTTGAACTCAGCAATCCTCCTGCCCTGCCTCTACCTCTCAAGTGCTGGGATTAAAGGTGCGTGCCACCATATCCAAGTACAGGGTCTCACATAGCTCAGGCTGGCCTCAAAGTTGCTATGCCGCCTTCAAGTCCTGGTCTTCCTGTCCCCACCGCGAGCGCTGAGAGTAATTATGCCATCGTGCCAATTTTACGTAGTGCTGGGCAGTGCACACAGGGACTCTTGAATGCTAGGTAAGCACTACATCCACTAAACTACAGTCACAGTTTCCAAAGACAGACTTTGAAAAGTAGACAAAGCTGTAGTGTTTGAGGATATAGGACCTAGTGATGAAAAAAAAATCCTAACAATCCTTCATCCTAACAATCGGTGGTCACACTTGGAGGAGGGAGTGGTGGAGGAGGTTTCTGAGGCGCTAGCAAAGCTTTATTAATTGGTCTTATGTGTGTTTTACATTGCACAATGGAAAGTGCCTTTAAAAATACATAGTATACAAGATTCAGTAAGAGTCCAAGTAGTCAACTTATTATCTTAATCATCTGGATTAACAATTAATTTTCAACTTTAATCAGAGAGCCTCTTGAAATGCAAATTTTAATTAAACTTGTTATGCAATAATTACTTTCAAAAGCTATTAAACTCTAAAATTTAAACACACGCAAGCTGGTGAAATGGCTAGCCCAGTGAAATGACTGGGCAGGTGAACGTACTTTCTACTCAAGCCTGACAACGAACAGAACCCGTAGACAAAGAGAGAGCCGACCCTGGCAACTGTCCTCTGCCTCAAGCCAGGCACGGCGGCACAGTGGCGCATGTACACCAACGTGTGTGTGTGCACACGCTTACACAGAGAACAGTTCTTTAAATTATATTAAATTAAATACTTAACGTGTGTATGTGCACACGCTCACACAGAGAACAGTTCTTTAAATTATATTAAATTTAAATACCTGTCAACGTGTGTATGTGCACACACTCACACAGAGAACAGTTCTTTAAATTATATTAAATTTAAATACCTGCAGTAATATCAGTTCGATTTTTCCCAAGTAATACGTTAGAACTAATACAATAATGCTCATTTTTTAACTATTACACATGTAACCATTTTTTATATAATATTCTAATCAGGAATCCTAAACTTCACACTTGTTCAACTTTTACAAAAGTCAAATTAGGTCGGTATACTGAAGGCAGTTATGAGCACTAATATTTCTTTGCTGTTAGAGGGAAGAAATGAAAGAAACTGAATTTCTTTGTGGTTTGAAACAAAGTCTTGCTATGTTTCTCAGGCTGGTCTGGAACTAACTATGCAGCCAAGGCTGGTGTCAAACTCAAAATCCTCCTGCCTCAGTCTCCTGAGTTCTACAATTGTAAGTACGTACAACACATCTGGATCTAGTTGTACTTACCTACTAAAATGTGGGGGGAAATGCTCTGAGCCAATGGCTCGGAGTTTCTCTAGAAATTACTAGTTTGAATAGCAAGTGTTCCCACAAAAGGCTCATCCCCAGCGAATGTTCTGGAAACTAGAAGGTAGAGCCTCGCTGGAAGAAGCAGGTCTCGGGAGCGGCATCCTTGAGGATACTTGCTGCAGGTCCTTTCTGCTGGGCTCTCTGCTTTCTGTCTCTAGCCATGAAGTGAACCATTCCATCATACGGAAGTGCGTTTTATGAGTAGACTGCACGTTCTGTGAACTGCAGTGCGCATGCACACACATGTGTGGACATCATATGTGTGGACATCATATGGAAGTGTGTTTTATGAGTAGACTGCACGTTCTGTGAACTGCAGTGCGCATGCACACACATGTGTGGACATCATAAGGAAGTGTGTTTTTTATCATTTTTTATTTTAATTTTAAATAGCTTGTTATACATGTCAATCCCAGTTCCCTCTCCCTCCCCTCTTCCCGCACTCCCCTTCCCCCCTCCCTCCCAGGAAGTGTGTTTTATGAGTAGACTGCACGTTCTGTGAACTGCAGTGCGCATGCACACACATACGGGTGGACACGGCAAGCCCTGTACAGAGTCATCTCCTCAGCCCCTGATCTGTTACTAAGATCTCTTATTTCAACTGTGTGTGTGAGTGTCAGCTTGCATGCAAGTGTGTGTAGCACAGAGGCTAGAGGAGGGCATCAGATCCGCTTACACTCGGGTTTCAAACAGCTGTGAACCAGCGCAGGGTGTCTGACATGGGACCTGGGTCTTTCACAAGGGCAGGAAGTGCTCCTGACTGCTGACCCCCACGCAGCCCCAGCTTGTTTTTAATGGCATCTCAGTGGCCATCAGGACGGACATTGAAGCTACATTGAAGCTGCTTTTCTTCGTTTAACAAAAGCCTCTCTCAAAAGCAAAGCTCTTCAGATCAGAGTTGCTACATTCGCTGGCCTCTGGCCAAACTATCCATTCAAAGAGCACCAGGACATTCAGTCACAGTTCTTCCCACAGAGTGTCAGGGAGATGGCAGAAAGATCTCCTTCCCTTTTAAGATTACTGTAGACTATTTTTAAAGTTTCCTTTACCCGTGCCGCTGAGATGGCAAAGTTAAAGGCAAACAGAGGACCTTCTTACAAGAGTCTCTCAAAGACTTAAGAAAAAAATAACTTTCCTGATGACAACAGACAATTCTAAAAGATTATTTCTACATTATCACAAACATGGGTATGGTGTGGCTCAGAATACATATGACTAAGATAAAATTTCAAGGCTGCCTATAACCCAGAACCAGGGCTATGCAGAGAATCTCACAAGTGTACGGGCAGGCTGCTTCATAGAAGACCAGCACAACAACAAGAAGCAAGAAGGAAGAGACAAAGGCTCTACTCTGTGGCCTTCTGTCTCTGTAGTCACTCATCCTGTGTCCTCAGGGTGGCTGAGAGGGAATTGCTCAGAGACAGCATTTGAGGTCAGATCCTCTCAAGTGCCGAAGCTTAGAAGAAATGGAGAAATGCAGCAGCACAGAGGGACCGAAGTCTAGAAATGAGGAACTGTACAGTACAAAGGCATCTCAGTGCAGAATCCTACAAGTGTACAAGTGACCTGGGGAGATGCTCAGTGGTTAGAGCACCTGGGTTCACGTCTCAGCTCACAGCTGTCTGTAACTCCACTTCCAGGGGATCCACAGCTTCATATTAGCATCTCTCAAGCAAAACACCAATGAACACAAAAGAAAATCAATTTTAGAAGTGTGTAAGTTTAGAAGTGTAAAAGTGTGTAAGTGAAGAAGTACAGAAGTGTGTAAGTTTAGAAGTGTAGAAGTGTATTACTGTATCCTCTACACTAACACCAGTTCATAAACTTGCTAGTGACATATGACCAGATAAATATGAGGGTTGAATACACCTATAAGCTTTTCTAGCAGTCTGATACTAGTATGACAAATTTATAGTTTTATTTTGTTTCATTGATATTTTTAAATTTTCCTTTTCTAATGTTTTGCTTAGTTTGCATTTTACAAAAGTATTGATCCATACAAACATTAAAAAACAAAAACAGGCCCTTTAACATAATTTAAGGAATATACCATAGACTACAGTGTCCTTGTTGCTTAACACAAATACTGTTTGCAAGCCAAGTCTACCCACAAGGACTCCTTGAATTCACTGTTACTTAAAATTCTCTCTAACAGAAACTAAGTTTCTCTGTTGACATATTTAAAATGTGTCCTTGAGTGTTCAACGTAGCTTAAGCTTGAGGCACACCTACACTCAGAAGGTGACAATGGGAAACAATGAGGGAAAGTCTGGCATGTACAGCTGAGGGCAAGCACATTTCAAAATCATACTCAGACAAAATGCACTCAGAAGGCAAAAACAAGCCCAAAATGTTTTGTTTTTTCCTAAGCATAAAGATCTTAGGTGTATATGAAGGGAGATTTGTAGGACTGGCAAACTATTCCACTGTGAATTGCAAAAGCATTTTTTCTTCTGTATAGTTTTCATACAGTCTAAAATACTATTCCATTCTCTCATTTTTTCTTTTTCTCTTCTTTTTCTTTTTTGTTTTGTTTTGAGCAGGGGTGTATCATGGAAAGGAAGGAAATCTTGACTTATACTCTTTTCTAAAGTCTGCTCGGCTGTGCCAAGATTCACTTCCACAGCAATAAAAGCTGTCTTGGAAATTTTAAATCAATCTCAAAGTTGGCACAGTAGTTATAACTTCCATTTGCAGGACACAGAGGAAAGTCAGTGGTCTGGATAACCACCGTGGGCTCTGGGCTGAGATGCTCTCTAGAGCATGCTCATTAGACTATCAAAACGCTGCTTTCAATATTATTTGCCAATTTCATTTATATGCTCCAACTATGCTTCGGTAAAATAAACCACAATTCATTTGATTGGCAACTTATTAAAAAGACATTTTAAAAACTCTGTAGGTCATTCGTGTACCAAAAATATTATAATTTTTATTTACATGGATTTACATTTGAGTTTAAACTTACAAAAACTGATTCACTAACTATTAAATAAGTTATCAAAAAGACTGTTAAGTGCCAGGAGTAATGGGGCATGTCTTTAATCTCAACACTTGCAAGGCAGTGACAGGTGGATCTCTGTGATCCAAGGCCAGCATGATCTACATAGAGAGTTCCAGAACAGCCACTGCTATATAGTGAAACCTTGTCCCTCACTCCACCCCCCAGAAAAAACCCCAACCAAACCAAACCAGGCTATCAAGCGGCTCAGTGGTAGAGTTCTTTCCCAGCATGCACAAGATCCTAGGTTCAATTCCCAGTACTACAAGTGAATAAAATACATTTAAAATTTTTAAAGGCGCAGGGCGTTCGTTGATGGCACACGCCTTTAATCCCAGCACTCGGGAGGCAGAGGCAGGAGGATCTCTGCGAGTACGAGACTAGCGTGGTCTACAGAGAGAGTTCTAAGACAGGCTCCAAAACAATACAGAGAAACCCTGTCTTGAAAAAACAAAGCAAAACAAAAAATTGTAAAGGCTGTCAAAATACCATGGAATTAGCTGATTTTTAGCCTTGATGTTTGGAAGAGAAGTTTTTCCTCTACTCTCTGTGGTTCAGTGGCTAGGATCTGTGCATTAAATTGAACAATAAAATACCAAAAATAGAAAAGATTTAGCTGGGATTGGTGGTAGGCCTTTAATCCCAGCACTTGGGAGGCCAAGGCAGGTGAATCTCTGTGAGTTCAAGGCCAGCCTGGTCTACAGAGTGAGTTTCGGGACAGCCAGGGCTACACAAAGACACCCTGTCTTGAAAAACTGGTGGCTGGGGGTGGGGGTGGAGAATAGAAAAGACTTGTTTTACATGTTTTTGAAAACCTTACAGAAAAAGTTGACTCAAAGGGATTTAGATCTGGGAGCTTACATACAATTTTAACAGAGGTTAAGTTCCAGATACATTAAAAAGCTTGGCCTGTGGAAAACTAAACAAGTTAAAAATTATTTAGCAAAGTTTGTTCATACTGATTCAAATCAGTGCCATCTCTACCAAGAGGTAAGACTCTTGGGCCAGCAAATGGCTCAGAGAATAAAGGAAATTGCTGCACAAGCCAGGAAACATGAAACTGTCCTGTGGAACTCGCTTTAATGGTAGGAGAGAACCAATTCTATGAAGTTGTCCTCTGACTATGCCCACCAAGGCATGTGCAACCACACACACATGCTCGCATGCAAGCGCACACACACACATACACACGGGCTCACACGCAGGCCGAGGCACGCGGCACGCACTAGCACATATGCACACACAGAAAAAAAGGAAGAAGTGATCTAAGACAGCCAGTTCTAGACTGACAGGACATTACACAATCAACTGGGATTCCAATCACAGAAAGTAAATTCATCCTGCAAGCTACATATTTTAGTTTACTCTGAGTGCTAGAAATGCAAATCCAATACTCACAACATTCGGCACTGTATATGCAGACTTTATAAGGAAATTTTTAAATGAAATAAGGATAAATTCAGACAACTTCTCTGTCACAATATCATTACGAACAAAAACCACTTTAAATTCTAATCAGTTCAGGTCAGGACAAAAGGCCTACTAGACTTGCCCAAGAGCAATATCTAATTTACTAAGAAACTAGTTTTCTTTCATATCTCTCGCCGAGACAGAGTAACACATATATAGGAGAACAAAACAAAACAAAGTTGTAAATATACATACAGAAAGAAAATTAACAGTAACCTGTTAAATCTTCCAAATCAAACTATTGGCCTAAATTGTCAGGACATTAGAACTAACCACAGAAGACAAAGAAACTGGAGTGACTCTGCCTTGGGAGTTCTGTGTGCGGCCTGAGGAGCTGAGTGTTCTGCTCGCTTTAAGTCTATGAAGCTGTTTCAAATGGAAAATCCAGAGGTAGCCTGAGAGATGTCGATGATCAGGTAGGACCACACAGGCACAGCTCAGAGGAGCCCAAGAGGCAGGCTAAGCAGCAGGCAAGTGCGTGCATGGCTTATACACTAAGCACTATATCAAGAGCTTTCCCTGAAGCAGAAACTTATGTAAGCAACTGCAAAGAGCTGGAGGGAGTATTCCACAACTATATTCTTGCTGGCTTGTGAATGTTCAGACAATTTGGAGCTGGAGAGAATGCTCAGTGGTTTAAGAGTGCTTACTACTCTTCCAGGGGACCTGCTGGCTCTAACCCAGTTCCAAGGGTCCTGCTGACCTCTTCCGGCCTCTGAGGGCACTGCACTCATGTGCACAAACCCATTTTCACATATACACATACTAAAAAAATTTTACTGCCTTTGCACTGTTTCAGGCAAATTCCTAAGTTCTGAACTGAAAATAAACTATATACTTTAAGTTACCAAATATACTATATTATCTTTATTTTAAGAATTTATTTCTCTTTGTATATTTCCAAAACAAAACAAAAACGGGCATTGGTGGTGCACGCCTTTAATACTAGCACTCAGGAGGCAGAGGCAGGCAGATCTCTGTGAGTTTGACGCCAGCCTGGTGTACAGAGTGAGTTCCAGGACAGCCTCCAAAGCTACAGAGAAACTTTGTCTCGAAAACCAAAAAAAAAAAAAAAAAAAAAAGGAAGAAAGAAAGAATTTATTGCTCTTAGTATATTTCATCTCATCAATCGCATCATGCTGTAACATTTACCTAAGAGCTGAAGAAAAAGGCATCAACAATGACAGGACTAGGCATCAGTAAACAAAAACTCAAAATCACTGATATGTTGAATGTGCCACATTGGTTACTTGTCATATATGAAGACTATAACCCATATTCCTACAAGAGTCAAGAAAAACATTATATGATAGTTACCTGAATTTGAGTCTGGAAAAGACAAATAGCAAATATTGGTTTTCTGAAAAAAAAAAAAAAAACAAGAGCTATCAATACTGACATATACCCCAATAAAAATAAGGAAAATATAACAGTAGGCTATACAGAGAAACATATTTACTTACTTCTTTATCAGTAAGTTTGGAATGTTGTGGATAAATTACCTGGAAAAGAAAGATTAATTATGTTAGCATACAACACGTACTTCTAAAATTCTAGTTGGCTATGGCCAAAATGTTTTTAAGAAACCACAATTGATGCTGTGGTGTCAAGTCACAGCTCCTTGGAAGGCTGGGTCAAGAGGCTACCTTGAGCCTGGTCGTTCAAGGACAGTCCAGAAAACATGCTGACACTGTCCCAAACATAAACGCATATCTTTTAGTAACAAAACAAGAAAGAAGGTAGGAAAAAACTAAGTAGAACTTGTATTATTTCAAAAAATTACATCGAAATTTCTCTAAGCTGGTGAAATCTAAACTCATTCTCTTTTTCTGTTTGAAACTTAAAATGTAAAGAAACATAATCCATAGTTCAACTCATACCTGTTCAAGAAATACTTTTCAATTGATTCCATGAGTATTATGCAGCAAATACTTAAAAGGACAAGGAAAAAATTTAAAAATTAAAAAAAGATCTCTACCGTGAAGTCTATCCTAACCACCATCCATCATTCCTTTAGATAACTATTAAGTCTTTCCCTTGTTTAGTACCTGCAGGACCACAGAACCCTCTGAGGGAAAACAAGTGTCCATCAGCTTCCTTACTGAAAGAGGGTCTAGGCCAGAGCAGCTGAAGCCAGAACCAGCAACAGTCAACACGAGGCTCAAGGAGATTCTCCCTGCAGATCAACCACGTCCAGGAGTGACTCCAGCAGGCTCTAGCACAGTGTGGTAGCACAGGGTTGAAATCTCGACACCTGCGAGGCTGAGACAGTCTCCGCACCCGCGAGGCTGAGGCGGGTTTGAGAACAGCCTGGGTGGCATAGTTTCAGGGTAGCTTGGGCCACGGCACCACTCTGCCTCAGAGTCTCATCTCCTCAAGAAAGCATTTAACGCTGAATACCTCTTTACAGTCTGTTGTTGTGAAACAGAATCTCCTATATCCCACACCAAGTTGTCTGAGATTGAGAGGCCCACAAATGTATGCATAGGCCCATAATTTAATATTTCCCATATGCTAGGCATTATGACTCAGAAGTCTGAAAACCTTTCAGTTTGAAGTAGTTTGTAATTTACTTTTTGTTGGTTTGGTTTGTTTAGCATGCTCGAGGCCCTGAGCTCAATATCCCAGCATCACAGTAAAGCTTAACAGTACTATGTACTTGTTTTGAAGTATATTAGGGAGCAAATTCTAACACTAAAAAGTCAAAATGGGGAAGGTGAGGTCAGTGGGTAGAATGCTTTCCTAGCGTGAATAGAACCCTGTGGAATCAACCTTTATCTCAGGGACTCTCAGCTCCCCAGTAATGACACAGAGACTTATGACTAATTATGAAAGCTTGGCCAATAGCTTAGGCTTGCCTCTAACTAGCTCTTATAATTTAAACTAACCCACTTCTATTAATTTACTTTTTGCATTGTGGCTTTATTACCCCATCTCCATAATACCCATCCTGCTTCCCTGGGTCTCCTGGCCTCTCTGACTTCCTCTTCCCAGAGCTCTCTGTCCAAAAGTCCCCCCTATACCTCCTGCCTAGCAGTTATTTTTTTACTAAACCAATCACAGTGACACACCTTCACACAGTGTAAAGGAATATTCCACAACAACCTGGATTTTACCCTCAGAACCACATAAACTTGACACAGTGACATATGCCTATAATTCCAGAACTCCGGAGACAGGGAGAAGAGGGTCAGATCAGAAAGTCAAGGTCAAAGTCTTCCCTGGTAACAAGAGTTCAAGCTCATCTTGAGATACTCAAGACTTTGTCTCAAAAAAAAAAGCATGAATATAAGTGCTAAAGTTAAAAAAAAGTGGGATAAAGAGTTCTGTTAAAGAAAACATTATTATAAATATGACCAGAAATCACTGGAATTCAGAAAGCAACAATGTCTTCAGTTTTTTAGTACTTACTTTCTTCTACTATTTTAAGAGTTTTTTTTCTTATTTAATTAGCCAGAGCTCAAACTGATTTGTTTTCAAACTTCTTCAACAAGCTTTGCTTCCAATAAACCCTTTTCCCAATGTAGCTGAGGTACAGCTCAGGGTTTAGGGTACTGTCAGCATGTGGACGGCTTTGGGCCTCATGTTTAGCTTCAAAATAAGAAAATAAGTACATAAATACATTTTTAAATATTTCCCACTGACAATATGATACTCTACTGTGTTGTCTTCTAATGACTCTAACTGTTGTTCACATTTTATATTATTTTAACCAATTACAGAGAAAGAGAAGGGTGGCAAAAAACCAACTCATAACAGCACTGCTGCCTGATAAAAACCATCTCATAACAGCACTGCTGCCTGATAAAAACCATCTCATAACAGCACTGCTGCCTGATACATTTGATTGTGCTTTCAGTCATATCTAGTTATGGATTTTGAAACAGCATTCATCAATAAAATTGTTTTCTCAACTAGGTCTGGTGGCACTGGTGTATACCCAGAACTACTTGAGAAGCTAATGCAGGAGGCTTTTAAGTTCAAGACCAGCCTTTACTTCAGAGAGAGTTCAAGGTCAGCCTGGGTAACCGAGTGCACCGTGCATGTCTCAACATAAAAAGTAAAGAGAGGGCTGGGGATGTATCCTGAGAAGAACAGTGTTTGCCTACTATTAGTTGAAGCCAGTGAACAAACAACACTGTATTTTCTTATGCCACCTTAGGCTAAGGTTTTGTCACTTTTAACAACAAAAAACCAAAATCATGTTTTGTTTTGTTTGCCTAAATGGGAATTCATAAAAGAACTGTCTCTTTTATTTACCACTGTATCTTTAAACTTAGAACAGTCTCTATCCCAGAGTAGATACTAAAAAACAAAAGTTTCACTTCACCAGAGGATACACTCTCAAATTAGTTCTCCATTTTGTTTGTTTTTTTGTTTTTTGAGACAGGGTTTCTTTGTATTGTTTTGGAGGCTGTCCTGGAACTCGCTCTGGAGATCAGGCTGGCCTCGAACTCACAGAGATCTTCCTGCCTCTGCCTCCTGTGTACTGGGATTAAAGGTGTGTGCCACCAACACCGGGCTAGTTCTCAATTTTTACGTATACAAGAGTCTCCCTTTTTTCATGCTCAGATTACTTCACTTGCAATTTTTAAAGTGTAAGTAACACCTAAAAACCTTTACTACTACGTTCTATTTAAGTCATGGTTTATGGGACTTGGTATGTGCCTGTAATCCAAGTACTTGAAAAGCCCAGGAAGGAAGATTTTAAGGTCAGCCTGGACTATAAACATAGACTCCAAGCCAACCTGGACAACATAGTGAGGCTGTCTCACAAAATAATGTCTGATTCCAGCTAAGTTCATCTAGAGTTGCTGGACTCCATTATGCTGGCAAATTTAGTGGCCTATAACAACTTATCGTCAACAACTCTACAATCAGTTTTAGGGGATTATCCTTTCCATGCTTATTTATCACACACACACATTTTAAAATATTAAGACTACAGGAGAACATCATGGGTTCTGTTAACTGTATTAGACTCTTATGAGTTTCAACAAATAAAGGTGTGATTACATGACAAGACAAAAATAAGGACTAAGTGTGATAACAGAAAAAACATTTCTCAGAAAAAAGTTCATATATATATTTATATGAACTGCCTCATTTTATTTACTACTCTGTCTTTACACAGTGTGTGTGTGTGTGTGTGTGTGTGTGTGTGTGTGTGTGTGTGTGTAATACATACAACATCCCTAGCCAAGAGTGATTTTAAATTAACTATCTTTACAAAAGGAGATGTACCTGCTATGACCTGCTATGACCCTACACAGCTACCTTCCCACCTGGAGACTAGTCTCAGAAGAGAGATAATTAAGAACATGGGTTACTGATGGTATCACATGCACACACATGTAAAAACAGGGCTGGAGCTACAACTAAGTAGGGGGGATAGTCTTGCCTATCAGGCTATCATGTGGAACATTCTAGGTTTAATCCCTAGCAGCATCAAACAAACAATAAAAAATTCAACAGCTAATAAGTACATGAAGATACTCAACATCATTAGTTGTTAGGAAATGCAAATGAAAGCAAAATACAAGATCCCTCTTACCCATCTGGATATTCAAAGAACACATCAGAGTGACAAGGATCAGGAAAAGCCGAAACCTCTTTACGTCGCTGGTAGAAACAACATTTTGGCAGGTTTTTGTGTTTGTTTTTAAAGCTACATCACATATACTGTGGTGGTTTCAAAGAAAACGGTCTCCAAAGGGAATGGCAATATTAGGAGGTGTGGCCTTGTTGGAAACCTGAAAACTTGCTAAGACAGAAAAGGCCACGTGTGATATGTACACAAGAAGCAAATCCATTGTCAAACATAGATTTGTGGTCCCCAAAGACTGGGAAAAGGTGGTGGTTTCCTTTTAGAAGTAAAGAAAATGCTCTACAGCTGGAATAGTGGGTACTAGTCACCTTACTTGGGAAAGCACTAAAATCGCTGATCTGTGAAATCAAATAGGTAGATCTCACAATATGCAAATATCTGGGCTAAAACCAGCAAACCCCTAACAGTCTGTGCCTGGGCACAGCTAATAATTCACCTTAAAATCATAAAGTGGAAATTATAATCTTTCTCACAGTGACCTCAAGATTCTCCCTCTTCCAGTATAACCCATCATTAAGCATTTTCCTTTCAAAGAAAAATATTCATGCTTTTGTTTGTTTTCAGATAGAGCCTTAATGTGTAGCTCTGGCTGGCTGGCTGGAAACTCAGTATGCTTTGTAGACTGGGCTGTCCTTGAACCCACTGAGATCTACCTGCCTCTGTGGGAGATTAGGACTAAAGGTGTATACCACCGTGCCAGACCAGCTATTCACTTATCTTTAACCTGAATTACACTGTATCAAATACTTCTATTTAACTGAAAATCATAACATTTCAGTATAAAATCTATTCACTAGTCTGAAATATGCTTTGGGATTTGCCTGCGACTTTCTTTGACCATAATTTTTTTTTCCAGGCAAGCTTTATTTGTTAGATCATAAACAAAATACACCA